CGCGGCGCGCTCGTCGTGGGGGCGTGGGCACTGCGCTCGCCAAAGCCGGTGAGAAATGTGATGGTGTTCGCGGTGGCCATGAGGGGGGCGGTGTGTGGCTCACGAAGGAGCAGGCCGGTGCCTTGCCCTTGCCACGGAGGCGGTGGCGGCGTCGTGCCGTTGGCCGTCGATGCCACCGCGTGCTTGGTTCCTTGAACAAGATAGACAAGCAGCAGAGTGCAGAGGAGGAAGAAATAGCAAAGGAGGAAGAAGTATTGCTTGGTTCGCTTGGGGGCGTCGGATGGTCATCGGAAGGCTGAAAACGTCCAATCGCATAAGTTGCGTAGCAATAGCAACCGCTGCGGGATCTCGATCCGCATTAATCACGGAGTCCGTCGTTCGCGCATGTTTATCGTTCATGAGCGTGCGTGCAAGAGCGTGTCGTGGCCGCTTTGTTTCACTCGACGACCGTTCGCACGCCTCCCTTAAACGTCGCGCGCGCGCCGCGCCTTCATCTACCGCAGCCTCGCGCGCCTTCATCTACTAAACATCGTCGCCGCTCTCCGCCGAGGACTCCGTCGAAAGCCATGGACGACGTCGAGGCGCGCTCTCCGTCAAGGACTCCGTCGATTCGCTGCTCTCCGTCGAGGACTCTGTCAAGGCGCTGCCGGCTTCCGTCTACGTGCCGGACTCCATCATGGAGGTGCAGCCTGCCGTCGAGGACTCCATCTACGTAGAGGTGTCGGCTTCCGGCGAGGCGCCGCAGGAGGTGCCGGTCTCCGTCGTCGAGGTGCCGGACTCCGTCGAGGGCAGGCAGTGTGCTCGCTGCGGCACATTGCATGCCGGCGGCGTCTTCTCAGAAGCTTGCTTCCATGCACGACGCAATGCTCGCAGGTGTGCACGTTGTGGACTCATGCATGAAGACTATGACCTATCAGCACAGATGCTGCATGACCAGGTGAAGTTTGAGTGTGAGATCTACATTCCTAACGTGCACAAACTTCAAATGGATGGTGAGACCATTATTTTGCCCGAGGAAGTTATCAAGAAGTTGGACGAGCACATTCACTCAGTGGCAAACAAAGATCATTAAGGTACAATGATTTAACCTAAGATACATGCATCTCCATGCTTGAATGTTCTAATCTGCATAAACTAACTTGATCATTCTAAGTTTGAGGGACAAGAGCAATGGCTTGAAGAAGCAATGAAAGTTCACATCCAATTTGTAGTGGCGACCTATCTTCCCTCTCTAGTTTGTCCTTGTTCATGTGAGGTATCTTGAATTTGTTGCACCCTTTAACCTTCATGGCTTCCTTCAAAACACTTTGAAGTGTTACAAATATCCTGTTTGCTTTCCATGGGGAGTACTCTATGAATGCCTATGTAACATGTGTTGAAGAAAATCAATGAATGAGTACATTTTCATGTTAAATAAACATTGCAACATGTGAACAATTGATCTTTTTACCTGTTGGACAGCTGGAACTAGATCTTCTATTTTTTTGCATCTTTCTTGTATTGAATTGCTTGAATAGCCCGAAAAAAACCCAAGTCCAAAATGTTAAAATCCGGAGAATTGGGTGGTTGACAAATGAGTCTTATGTCGTAGCCTTCTTGCTTAGCAGCCTCACAAAACTCAGGATCATCCAATTTTAAATGTGAAGGGGCATTATCTTGTTGAATGAATATCGGCTTGCTCACATCTTCTCTAGGCCATTTGGCTCTAATGGCGGGCAGCACTTTGTTTAACATGAAATCCCTAATCACATCTCTTGTGATTGAAGTAATTGGCTTGATCACTAGTTCTCCACGAAGACGGTTTTGACTTCTTCTAACAGCCGGTTCATAAGTTACCAAGGGAAAACAACCTATTTTGCCATCAAAAACACACTCTCCATTCGTAAACCTTGGCCGAGCACAAACACACAAGAACATGATTCTAGGGATGTAGTTCTTGTTCTTACAAGTGCGATGAGGGTCATCTTCCTCGGGTAGCAAATAATATTTCTCGGATTTTTGAGATAAGTAGAACCATTTTTCATCAATGAACACATAGTCAAAAAAATCCTTAAACCTTGGATCACCAACCAAACCTTGCTCAACCATATCAACACACCACTTCAACCTAGTCATCTTGTTTGTATCAGTGAGGTACGGTTTGATGCTACTAGAGTGACGCCTAAGCAACCCTTTTTTTAAATACCTTTGAATCCTAGACTTGCTTATACCAAGTTTGCTAGACACATCTTCTACGGTCATTCTTTGTTTGAGTGGAATGCTACGCAATTGTTCCAAGTCTAGAGGGATTGCCTTGCGACCACATCTACCCCTCTTTTGACTAGCAACCACAACCGGAATGTCATTGGCAAGTTGGTCTTTACCTCGCTTCCATAAGCGCTGTACAGTTCGAATGTGGAGTCCAAAACGATCAGCAACAATGCTTATATCTTTCTTGCCAAGTTTCCCATTTTTACTCCTAGCTAACAATGCTTGGTACACTTGTTTTGTTTGTTGTTCGGACATGTCCTTCCTTCGGCCAAGTCCTTCAATCGGTACCTCAACAGCATGTTCTAGTAAAACAAAAAAAAATGAATAACATTCATCTACTTAGCCGAGAGCATAACAAAAGGAAAAACAACCCGAGAGCATTACCAGCAACGTTTGCAACGTAACCTAAGTCAACAGCGCCAAATTCATCCAATGGAAGGTTCAAATCAAATCCTAAAGATAAGGAAACAACAAAATGAGAAATTTGCATGCTACGAACATCATAAAAGGAAAATCCAAATTGAGTAACAATAGGCACAATACCAGCATTGCCGTCACCTTCTTCTATGCGGACGTTGAGATCAAAGGCAGCATTCCTTGGATCAGCCATTTCATTTGATAGATGGAAACAGAAGCTAAGAAGAACACCGGACAGTGGTAACGTGAAGCTAAGAAGGAAAGCAACGTTTCTTGCCTTTAAATAGATGGCGCAGACAGGCAGTCCAAACGTTTCGCAGCGATGAAACCGGGTCGTCGTGCGCGCCAGCAAAAAAAAAGTGCGCCACGCGAACGTTTCACAGCGAAGAACAAAAATTTGGAAACGAACTGCGCGCGCTTCAAAATTTTTTGGCAACGAACGCATGTAGCGCGCGCCATGCAGCAGCAGCACTCCACAGCGAGCAGCGCGCGAGCCAACACTGCCATGCAAAAAAGATTCGGCAGCAGCAGCAGCCACAGGCAAAAAAGCTCGAGTCCGCGGGGTTTCGAACACAGCACCACCGGACTCGGCCACTCGAGACTAGCTGCGCTAGCCAGTAAAACTCAGGAACTTTCTCCTATGGAATGCAGCCACAGGCGTATTTATTAGGGACAAATAGAAAAAACTCTACCATAACTCTACCCTAATTAATCACTCCTTGGTAAATACAATCATGTCCTAAACGACTTTCTTTGTAGGTACGGAGGGAGTATAGTCTATCGAACTTTAAAAAGTTTTCTTTAAAATGCGTGATATGTATTTACTTTGGCATGGAGGGAGTAATCAGTAGCGGACCCAAAACCTTATATAAGCCCGGGCGGATATAATGGCTATGTATGAGATTAAGTCTAATCTCTTAAATATTTAGGCTAAACAATAATTTTTCATAAGAGAATCGGCGTCGATGAGCCCGGGCGGCAGCCCAGGGTCGCCGGGCCCTGAGTCAGCCAGTGGGAATAGTTTAGAAATGTGATTGGTACCCACTAGGACAAATTTGGAGTATTGACACCAGTGCTATATTTGGCGCACAGCCGGTATCAGCTGCTCTTGTTGCCATGCATGCAAACGAGCAGAGCAGGAGCTGCAGACGGATAGGTAGACAGATACTGAATAAAGAGATTTGAGGCTGATTTTGCTGAATGTTTTCAGTATGCGTCCGGCCGGCCGGACGGATCAGATAGCAGAGCATGATACAGCCGATGATATCGGGATTGATTGCAGAAGCGGGTGTATGTGTACTAGTCAGCGTAGTCAATCCCACAACCAATAGCGTAAGATTTTGAATACTGAATCTGCGAGATTCAGAAAACTGAATCCACACAGGCTTGACCACCAGAAAAAACAACGCAAATCAGTGAGATCTCGGCACTTAGGTGAGCAGTTAAATAAACATGGAGTGTATTAAGCCAAGGTCACCGAGACATCCGATGGCAGCAGTAAAAAAAATAGCAATGGCAACAGAAATTGAATCCAAGCATAAGTACAGAGGGTGATTCCCATTTGCTTGTATGTACAGGGTACGAACAAAGAGTGACTGCATGAAGGTAATTAGAACAATTTTGATGAGTTTCAGTCTTCACAGCTGCAGCGTTCCCAAAAACATTGTTACCAGTTAAGCACTACAAATGTTGTACGGTTAGCCCCCTCACTGCATAATAAGCAAAATACACCAGCGTTATCATGTGAGAATAGATAGGGTATATGCATGCAATAAGCTGTCTGCTAAACAACACTGCGCAAAGCACATAATGAACAAAGGTTTAATTAGACTACACAATGGAAAGCTTTTTTTTGCTCAACCATTACAAAGACCTTTGTGATTTCATTATATGAAACACTGAATAGAGAAGAATTCTGAGTCAGGCAGTGAGCTTATGCTCAGATTCCAAGCCAACAAAGAAACATTGGATTGTCTAACTGTCAACCATATACAATGATATGAGTACCCATCCTTCTACAGTTCAAAGTTTAAAACCAACTAGATATCATCTGGTACTGTAAAATCTACAACCTATGGTATTCATGAATGCTGTCATATGATATGGGCCGGATAAGTTCACTTGGCAAAGCTTAGCAGAAATGCTGGCCCCATTTGTTGAGAGAACAGTTTAAAAGAGCAGTAAAAAGAATTATGGAATAACTGATCGAAACCTTTTCATCTGCCTTCCATTATAGTCATAAAGATGCAGATATGAAAATGAACAATTGATGGTCAATCAAACAACTAATATGGATCGTGAATAGCAGCAATACAAGTGTTATTAGACCTGCTTCACAAATTGATCATGGAAGACAAACATGAAACAATAATACTATTTGAAAAAGTAAAATCTTGAGGACTAATTGGAAGAGATGAACCTAACTACATACACATACAGAAATACTTCATGTTATTAGTATAGCAAAAAGGTGAGTCTAGACACATATTAAGAAAGAGTAGCCAGAAAATTTAATCAGAAGGTGATCAAGGAGCACTTACCAGTAAGTTGTTGGAATCTGACTTCACAAGGTCTGGTTTCATGCCAGTGGAAGCCGGTATGCCAATTTTCTGCTGACTTCCCTCGACGTGACTCAATCTGCTATCGTATGAGTTGTCCATTTGGTTCCCCATGTAGCCATAGTCTATGATTCCAGAAGGTGTGTAATGATAGGGATATGGGTATGGATAAGCCAAATAAGGACCATTGTAGTAAGGGACATAGGGTAAACTGTGCAGAGAGTACATTCCACCGTTGGCCATGTCCATTGAATCATAATACCTACTGTGCGGAGAGTACATTCCGCCCTTGACCATGTCCATTGAATCATAATAATAATGGTGTCCATTTTGATACCTGCGCCGATCCCTTGGTTCAGCATTTTTAGTTTCCACTTTTATCCCGTTCAAATAATGAAACCTATCCTTTAAAACCTTGACTGTAGCTTCCTTGGAATCAAATGTGACAAAGCCAAAACCCCTTGGCTTTCTTGTGTCTCTGAGAAATCACGACAACATCAGTTATCGTGCCAAACCTCTCAAAATAATCTATGAGATGGTCTTTGGTGACATTATCCCCAAACCCTCCCACAAAGACCTTCAAATCAGCATTTGAACTTGAGGTAGTGCTAGTCTGTGCAGATCTTGTTTCTTGTTTCTTTTCTGCCCTCTTCACATCGACCTATACATCACCAGCATCAAAATCATATATACAAAGAATTTTTCTAAAGAATAAAATTGCTTACAAAAAAAAAGAACATAGTAGAATTTGTATAACTTTGGACCAATTTTTTTTGCAAAAAAGACACAGCACACAAGCTTATATCAGTAGATAAATGAAAACAACTGATTCAACAAACCGACCAACAAAATATTAAATAGAACAAAATAAGTTTGCATTAACCAGAAAAATATCACATTGAGCTTCTTCTTGGCAAGTCACAGTCCTGATAGGCATAGGAGTCAACTATCAGAAAGAAGAACATGATAGATCTATAGGCAGTAGGGACAAACATCTCTATAGCCACACCTCCTACAAAATACATGAAATCATCAAGAACTATCGATTTTTATACTTGAAAATCTTGCTTCTTATGGGTTGAAAACATGTGCCACCTCGCACATTCTCACTACACATATACAAGTAACCAAAGTATAAAGTTCTGAACTGCAGATAAGCTGCAGGCTGTGCACCTCCACCCTACAGATACCACATTGACTATGTAGAGTCCGAACTTATGGACCACGACAACCAAAATAAAGGGTGTGCCCATATAGAAGGATTTGAAATACAGTTGGTCAGCTTGCATTGGGGACAAGCAAGCAAGAACTAGTGGTTTTTAGCAGAAGGATGCAATCCTCATTCACCTGCATCTTCTCTTACGAAGCAAGCTATGGATTTGAAGTTTACCGAAATTATCTAGACAGGCTTCAATTTTTCAACAGGAATTTTACATACATAGCTAAACTCAACTCGTGTTTTTTAAGCACCTCAATTTCACAGTAGTAGTGAAAGCTTCAATTTTTCAGCAGGAATTTTACATACTACATAGCTAAACTCAACTCGTGTTTTTTATGGACCTCAATTTCACAATAGTAGTGAAAGGAACAATCTGATCCACCAGGCTAGGCAAATCAGTGCCACACCACAATTCCCGTAAGCAAAACTTAGTTTGATCCCACACTGTCTTAATGTCTAGTAATCCCATAAGCTCTAAGCGCACAAAACACAGTATCAACTACAGCTAAAAGTTGCGATTTCTTAGTACGAGAAACACAGACCATCCAAACGTCGCAGCCGCAAAGCGCTTAATTTTAAACGCCGGCGATAAATTAATAAGGATTAAAAAAACTCACCTTGCAGCTGAAAAAGGCGTCGTGACTGTCGCTCTCCTTGGAGTCCAGCGCCCTGAGGACCGCCTCCTCGTCCTCGAACTCGACGAAGCCGACACCGCGGCCGAAGCCGTCCGGGTACGCCATGACCAGCGCTTCCACCACGTGCCCGTAGCGGGCGAAGTGGGCCCTGACCATGTCCGCAGTGAGCCCCACGCGGGATCCCGCCGATGAAGAGCTTCCGCGGCTCGTGCTCTTTTTTCTCCATCCCGCCCGCCGAAGACCGCTTCTGCCTGAGCCGCTGCCGGCGGGGCACGAGATGGCGAGGAGTGGGGGAAGGCGGTTAGAGAGGACTGGAGAGAGGGGAGCGCGGTTTCGGTTCGGAAAGAGCGGCGCGCGTGGGCGAAAGAGGCGGAGAACTGAAACGGCTTTGCGCTAGGGTTGGTTGGGTTTGGGCTGCCAGAGATTTAAGCGGGTGAAGGGGTGGACGCGGCCCGTATTGGGTCAGGACTCTGCTTCCTGGGCCAGTGTACATTCGACGCGCTAACGTCCCGAATTCTGTTGGACTCGGTCGGTCTTGAGACGGACTCCGCGGAGGCCGGGGCGGGCCTTTCTCGGGGAGTCAAGAGTCCATGAACGCGACGATGACGAGCTTTTGCCGTGTGCAGCGCGGCGCGAGTTCTGTCGAGACTCTAGACAGTCCAACTACAGCTGCAGGTCTACTACAGCACTACAGCCAGACGCGTAAGAGCATGCATAAGCATGAGTATAACGGCGTCTCTCTCTCTCAAAAAAAAGCATGAGTACAACGGGGTGCTTAGAGAATGAGTTTAACGAAAAATTTGACTTTTTAGCTATACTATATATCATTGCACCAGGTGCGTCCAAAGAATATATAAAATGCTTTGGAAATGCTCTTCTTGGGGGCATCTGGACGGCCGGACTCTCCCGTTACTGTGGGCCGCGACGGCCAGAACGGCCCAACTAGAATGTCCATGCTCGCCGCAACTCTATTCGTTCGGCTGTCGTCTTCAGCAGTCTCCAGAAACGTCATTTCCACTCGCCGCGAGTTCCCTGTGTCGGTGCGGCGTGCTCCACCATGGCCGCGCTACCACTGCGCTCTCCATCGGCCCGCCCAGCCGCCACACCCTCTCTGAACTGCACCAGAGAGCCGTCGCCCGCCTTCCACCCTTTCCATCGCAGTTCACCGAGCGCTCGCCATTGCACCGCATTGTCCTCTCGCCACTTGCCTTTCCCTAGTGCTGGGGGCGCTCGGCCAGGCATTGCATCCGCCTGTCCGCTGCCAACCCCCCTGCCACTCCACGGCATCGAGCTCCGCGTCGACGAGCCTCCATTCTCCTAAGCAGCAAGGAGATGTTGCGCTGAAAGCGCATGTTGCGAGCGTATGTTTCAAGTATTTCAGATATTTCTGAGGTACGTTGCAATTGTTTCAGATGGATGTTGCAAAAGTATATCGGGATGTTGCATATGTTGCAATGGTTTGTACACGTATGTTGCAAGCGTCTGTTTCCAAAGTTTTATCTGTTTTTCAGACGTATGTTACAAGTATGTGTTATCAGGATGTTGCATATGTTTCACACATATGTTGCAAATGTTTTATCTGGATGTTGTGTACGTTGCAATGATTTTCGAGTGTTTTTTAAGTATTTTTGCAAATGTTTCAGACGCATGTTTCAAGTGTTTCATCTGTTTGCTTTTGTATGTTGCAAGTGTTGCATTTAGATGTTTTAAAAGTAGATTGGATGTTGCACGTGAGATGCAAGTGGAAAGCGGCTGGCGGCGCGGACTGGCGGTGTGGGCCTGATGCTGGGGCACTCGCTCGCTCGCTGCGCGGGCTCCTTCTCTTGTGCGCGGGCACCGTTCGACGCTAGCGTCCCAGATCAGACATCCGTGCGCTAGCAAGTCCGAAAATGCTTACCGGTTCGCTCCTAATTAATTCTTAAGTGTGTCAAGTAGATCAGCTTATGTAAGCACCTTTCCCATATTTCCTTCAAAACGAATTATGTTAAAACTTGCACGGAATCTCCCCAAATTATATATGAAAAAATTGAAATAAAAAAAGATGTGATAATCTATCTAGATTCTTTTAGTGTTTTCTCCTGTTGGATTTCCTCGATACAGGCAATGCTCTAGTTGACCACAGTCTTGTTAAAACACTAAAGCCATGGTACAGTCTTCGTGCCAAATGCGTCGATCAACCAACGAGGCCCAACATTCCAAAACATATGTGAAGCGATAAAGAACACCGAGGTGCCTGGGCTGGAGCCCCCCTACACCGCCACCAAAAGCATAGAGCCCCTCTTAATCCCGTTCTACAATTTTGTATGTAGTTATTGAATCCTAGAACTGAGGGTTAAATGTAGAAAAATAAGGGTGAGAAATCAATCGTATCGTATATTTCTAGATCCGCTGCTACCCTCGGCCGTCATGTTGGATACTTGAATTTTCTCTGTGCGACAGTGATGAGGTCGATGAGCTGAAGTTTTTTTTTTTGTTTTTTTTTTTTGAAAGATGAGCTGAAGTTATTGTCAGCTGTAAATTGTTCGCTTATCCCAGAGGTCTTGAAGTCCCCGTCCAGGGCGAGTCCGAGACTCGCCGGGGTGGTGGCTGAGCATACCCTGCTGAAGGCGGAGCGTAGCATGCAATCCAGGAACCTGGAATTTACTGAAGGTAATTGTTAGTAAATAATGCAAATCAAGATTGAATACGAGACACAGATTTTTATGTGGAAAACCTGTCGATGTTTTACCACTGGCAACCCGTCACGGGAGTACCCGGGACGGTGATTTGTTCGGAGGGGTATCGGCGTTTGCAGGAACTCGATGGTAAACGCAGGGAGACAACGATTTATACTGGTTCGGCACGCCGAAAAGTCACGGCGCCCTACGTCCAGTCTGGTGTGGATAGTATATTGCGCCCTGCGCTATTTGTTGTGTTTGTGTTCCGGTATTGTCTCTCTCGATCTAGGGACCCCTGCCTTCCTTTATATAGTCCAGGAGAGGCGGGAGTTCTAGTCGGTTACGAAGTAGAGATCCTAATAGGATTATACGTAACTAGTCCTAATAGGATTACATGTAGGGAATCCTAGTTGGACTAGGTCTTCTTCTCTCTTCTCCGTACGGAACCCTATGGGTCCCGCATCGACAAGCCCCCGAGCATTTCATGATTGAGCTTCAAGGGCCGGGTTGTTGTAGACTTGTTCCGGGTTCTTTCTTGAAGAGAAATCTTGAGATAGTCTTCTTTGTCTTTTCTCCGGCTAATGTGCACTTTTGGACAAAAGTGCACTCAGTGAGTGTAGCACCCGAGCCTCTTGCTTGTTGGGACAAGAAGCCAGAGGGTCCCTTTAGTCTTCTTGGTTGCTCCGAAGTTCTTTTTGGGTGGGTGCAATTTTTCAGTAAAAATTGCACTCATCGAAAGTGTAGCCCCAGAGCCTCTTGCTTTTGCTCGAAAAAAGTTGGAGGGTCTAGATTCTTGTCTTCAAAAATTTTGGGGTTATTTATCCCTTGAGTCTCCCGAGCCTTATCCAAGTACTTTTCTTTAGAATAGAAATCGGATGAAGGGTCTTGATGTGTTGTCGTTGTTGTAGTCTTGAGTACTTGTATTCTTGGTCTTTCGTCCTTGAATCCGAGCCCCCAGGCGTAGTTGAAGCGAATGCCGAGCTCCCGAGCTTAGTGTTTGACTAAGCCGTGATGCTCTTCCGAGTTGTTTTTATTCATCCAGTTGTTTCGGACTTCTCTCGGTTTTGATGTACCTCTTCCAGTTGTTTGCACTTCGTCCGTGTTCTTTTCGAACTTGTATGTACCTCATCCGGGTTGTTTTTCTCGATCA